TCACGGCATGTGCAGTTAACCCAGAAAAAATTCGTCTTGAAATGTTGTTACCAATGTACGTACGAATATTGTTATCAATAAGGTTGTCTGCTTTAAAAAACAGGAAGTAATAAACGTATATTTTTATCCCAAGGAGGTTCATTATTTACAAATCAATTTTACTGAAGGTCTGGAAGGGTTTTTAACACATGATTAGCAAATATCAGATTTTAAAACTCAAGTAATGAAAAAAAGTCTTCTTATTGTCAATAATTTCCTGATAACACCATCAAATTGTTCTTGCTTTCTCGGTGCCATTTTCAACTGTTCTAAAAAGAAATTTTTATTTTTTATGAAATTCAATTTTTCGACTCAAATAAAAACTTTTGTTTATCGAGAATAATAGGAAAAAGTACGATTTACTGTTTACAAACAGAAAGCACTGTCGAGTCAAATGGTCAACTAAACAAGCTCAACAATTCGATATTCAATAAAAAATATTCCATTTGAAGAAGAAAATTAATGTCATGAAGTAGAGCTATAGTCAGCTATAGATAAAAAGAGGAAAATTCCCACAAGAAGCTAATATCCTAAAACAAGCCACATTCACTTTGATATAGAAATAAGCTTAAGACTGGCGTATTCTATAAATACAATACAATATTCCTCCATTTGTTTTCCAAAAGCCATTGAGCAGGAAACGATCGTGGAGATGTGTAGCAGTATTAATATGACAGAGGAAATAAAAAAGTACTGTACTTGATACTGATATATTGTTTTATATTAACTCATATTTCTAAAAAAGCAACTTTACCTTAATAATAGAGAGAGACTAGAAGAAACTCGTTACTTCACGTATGTAACTGGCAAGACTATACATTTTCCTTGGAAAGGTAACAATTTAAGTATATAGAACAAATGTGATTGTACCATATTTTATCTGAACGTTAATGTTTTTCTATAAAACCTACAATAAGGTGGCACTATAAAAAGAGGTTCTGAGGAAAACTCGCTAACAAATAATTCGGTTATACTTTAATATTTCTTTTTCAATTAGATCGATTGTAAAACATTTCGGTTATGCAGATTTTAGATTTTTTAAAATCACTTAATAATCATTTTTGCTCGAACAACCCTTTTCAACCATCACATTTAATGCTTAAAAATTTATTGACTGTTTTTTTTTTTAATTTTGATACCAACTTTCTTAGAGCTTCAAGAAAGTATTGGGAAAGTAGTTCCTTACTTGTATATCTTTTCAATTTATTTGCTTATACGTTTTTACTGTATTTTAAATTTTTTAAATTTGAAAAAAGGCCTTGACTAGAAGTATAGCTTTAAGTACAAAAAAGTAGGTAAGACTATATTGATAACAGATGTGCTTTATTGATATCGCTCGAAAATAAACGATTAAAGTACAATCAAGAAAGACAAAGTTAACGTTATTCAATAGAAACTCTTAAATATACAAACTTTAAAACTAGTAGTCATTGTCCATATACATTATTTTTTTCCTTTCAATCATAAGTTCTTAGAATCTAGCTCGTTGTAGCAAACTAACTAATTATTATCCAGTAATTATACAATCAAGAGAATCTTCAAATACGTCCATATAAACGAAGTTAAATATTTCTTTCATTTTAGCAATTTCCTTTTAAGTCACTAATAATATGTTCTCGAATATTGAAGTAAACTGGACATTGGCTGCAGAAGAACAGATAGCCTTAGCCATCGTCTAAGTGTTACAATATTCAATAACAGTAACAAATGCATGCCACTTAAGATGTCTAACAGACGAAGAATGATATCATAAACTCTTTAGTCTCTAGGGTGAATAAAGTTTACGATTATACAACAAACAGCAGAGAAAATTAATAATAATCTATCATAAAAACCAGAAATGTTAGTGGTTACTATAATAAGCAAGTGATAATAGGTGGAACTTTTTGATATAAACTACAGCACAAATAAATGAATGGACTATGTATGATTAGCCATTTACTATTACTGAAAACAAAAGAAATAATAAAAGTTATCATAAAACGTAGCTGTGGTTACGATAACAGACTGATAATCAAATCAGATTCAATGAAACTGTAAAACTCTCTCTGTCAGGACAACATATAGAGAAAGCGGTAAACGTATTAGATGTAAACGGTTGTGCGTTAACTGAATAATGTTTAGTACGAGACTTTAACAAAATTACAAGGTTAAAGAATATTAATTATGTTATTCACAAAAATCTATAGCGCTTAAAAGTCATATCCTCTCCAAAACCAGAAACATGTTTTGTTATATATCTACTTGAAACATGTTTAAAGTTTATGTTATCAGGAACTGGCTTCACGTTTCTTCTTCACCAAAATATACAGTTTGACGATCAGATAAAAATATCTTCATAGACCACTTTGGTCAAATATTTGATACGAAAAAGTAATTGTCTATTCATAAGAGACACATTTAAAAACTTTTTTTTATCTTGTTTTATCTTTTGTTTTTCAATGGGAACATAATACTTGAAGTTTTTAAAAGAAATCACGCAAAAAATCTCGTATAAAACCGTTGACAACAAGTCATTAGACATAAAGCATATTCGAGGAAGCAGATGGTATTGATGATTTATAGGTGATAGCCAAATTATTGGGCAACGTTTTACCAAATATTCCTTTGAATTTATAAATAAGCTGTGTATTATGCTCATTCTAATGAATAACAGTAATTTAAATAATTTTTTTAAAATCCTTATTAAGCGATTTTAGTACAATTACAAGTTTAAAGACAGTTAATTATTTTAATATGTGATTCACAAGAATGCATAGCACTTAAATGAAGTATAAAAGACATATCCTCTCCAAAACCAGAGACCCTATTTCACTGTATATCAGATCGAAGCATATTTAAAGTTTATGTTATCAAAAACTGGCTTCACGTGTCTTCTTCGCCAAAGTATACAGTTTGACGATCAGCTAAAAATGTCTTCATAGTCTACTTTGATCATATATTTTATACAAAAAAGTAAGTGTCCATTCATAAGAGACACATTTAAGTACTTCTTGACTTATTAACTTGTTTTCTCTTTTCCCAATGAGAAATAATAATTGAAGTTTAAGCGAAACCGCACGAACACCCCTACAGGAAACCGTTGACAACTAGTCGCTAGACATAAAACAGATGGTATTGACGACGTCTAGGTGATAGCCAAATTATTGGACAACGTTTTACCCAATATTTCTTCGAATTTCTCAAGAAGCCGTGTATAATACTCATTCTAACGAACAATAGTAACTTCATTTCATTCTTTTAATTTTTCGCCATCTGCTACAGAGGGTAAATTGAACCTTAGAAGAACGACTTGCACATCCTAATACAAAGGGTTTCGCCTCATGTAACAACGGTGGAACAACAGGTGACATGTTTAACACGTAATTATTTTGTTCATGCTAATATTTTCTTCCCTGCCCTTCAACAGTACAATGCTGCTACGGGTGTATTTTTAACAGCAGGTGTTTACCATAGCCCTGTCTGAGGAAGGATAACGAAATAGAGAGATTGATAAATAACATAAAGCCACAATATTTTGAAGAATGGAGTAAGGAATTTAGGAAAGCAGGATATTCTGAAACCACACATTCAGACAACTCAGGGTAAGATCGGGTCGAGGATATATATTGTGATAGAACTGTGCATGTATCCTGGTGCTGTTAACAAGATAACAAACAATATTCTGAAGTTGGTGAAGATTCACAAGTAAAGAACATAGCTTCAAACCACATCTAGAAATCAATAGCTGTTTCTCTGAGAAACATTATCTAAGAAAATGAAATAATAGCAATCTCATTAGATCACACATTTGTCAAGTTTCCTGATGCAGCTGCAATAGACTTTTGTGACTTTGATTCTGCTTATATGCGGCCTTAAAAGCTGTTGACCATGTATAATAGACAGTATGTTAAAACGTTTTCAAGATATGTGGTAAACATTAACCTTACCATCCTTCATATAAGTTTATTATATAACTTGCAATGTAAGGTAATGGTGCGTAATCCTGGCCATCATCTTGGGTGGGATCACAATGAAGGAATTAATTCCGAGAGCAACAGTCATCATGGAATCTGAAACATCTTTCTTATACAGTTTGATTAGTAGTAGTATTTAAGAACAAAAGTACAAATGCTTTCAGTCCTTAGAACTTGAAAAGTACGTAAGGTTAGAAACTAATGTAATCATAAAAAAAAGTGTTACCACAGTTTAAGCGCTTTTGGGAGATGGACCTTGAAGAAGAAAGGTTGATATTCCGAAAGGACTTGATTTCGTTAATTTTGATAATTCTTTCAAGAAGTTATTTTTCTCTTTAGTATTGAAGTTTTATAAGCACTGCTTTGACGTATAAGTGGATTAATTGACTGGAGAACCTTTTGTCTCACGAAGAAATCAAGCAGCAGTTTGTTAAGTGAGAAGTAACAATTCACTTAAGTATAGTTCCCGCCATTTTGAGCTTATTTATGAAACGCTTGTTGTTTCTTTACCAATACAACAATAACATATAGCCGTCATGAAAGAAACGAAGACGACGTTTGCTTTCTTTCACTAGGCAGTTGCAGTTCAATAAGTTCTCAAACTTACTATGTCTATTCTATTCTGCCTAAAGTTACACTGAAATAACATATAGTATTCTCACCACAAAAGTCCAAGCATCTTCTTACTTGCACTATCTTGACAGTGTTACTTGCACTATCTTGATAGTGTTACTTGCACTATCTTGACAGTGGACTTTATTCTAATTTAATTTTATTCAATAACCGTTATTTTTTCAAAGTTATTATTTCATCTAGACATGAATTATCGTATTTATATTTTGATTTTATACATATACATAAATATCAATTAGAGTAACAGTATCTTCCCACGTTCTTCATATTCTGTAGCAAAGCTATTGTGTTTTTGCAAAGCTCAATAAAAGCCTATGAAATATGTTGATGTTTTAGCTTTACTTATAACAGAAGCTAAAATTGATCACTTTTTTATAAAGTGATTGGCTCGTTTTGTTTGAATACAACACTGTCTTGTTTGCGGAAATTGACAGTAGTTTTGAAGGTTGCTGACAGACTTCCGTCTGGGCGAGATTTCCAACTTTTGTTCTTACAGCCAAATAAGGCCATAAAATTTTCTCGAAACTTAGAATTCATGAAACAGTAAGTGATTGGATTGCAGCAAGAGGATGTGTAAGCCAGTAAATGGAAGAAGGAGATACCGTAGTAACCGAGTCCTCGGTAAACGACGACAGGATCGAAAAGAGTGATGGTATTAAGAATATAAATTGGTGTCCAGCAAAGAAAAAATTCTAAGACAACGACGAACAACATTTTGATTACTCGTTTCTTCTGTGCAAGTGATCTGTCTGTGTTAGTGACTGCCTGCACTGACATGATGTCTGTTTCTCGAGTAGTTTGGTTCTCAGTCGTTAGTACACAACTGGATGAAGAACATGGAGAGTTAGGGTTGGATCTCACGAGGATACTGCGCAAGACATTCCGACTTGAAGATTGGCTACTTTTTATTGCACTTTGAGTTCTAGTTCCTAAGAGAAAAATATAAAGTGAATAAAGTCCAACGAATTACATATATAGATATATTTTACACAGACCATTTGAAATTATACAAATTTTCATTCACTTTTTACTTACAAGCTACAATAATGCTAAACATTAGTATTATAGCATTACAGTCGCTTGTTTTAAGTTTTCTTTTAACTTCTTTTAAGTAACTGAATCAATAATTATAAAACGGAGATCAAGTAATGTAATTACAGGTTAAACTTAACAAGTTTTAAAATTATTTGTTAATTGTAGTCTACATTTCACGATAATGGTAACTGATCAAATCAAATTTATTCTATTATAACATATTGAAATGAACTGTAACTGCAGTAAGATCACACTAACCTTGAGTGAATGAAACTTCGGGTCGCATAGCTCTCCACAAGGTGGCGGTGATGAGGGAATACGTAACCACCATAATAAGCAGAGGCACCACCAGGAGGAGAATGTCAAGCAATATATTAAAAAGTCGTTCAGCAGTGATAGTCGGCCAACTCTCTCGACATTTGTATTTATCTAATAAAGAAAAATAACGCAAAAAAAAAGAAATTATCTTCTGCCAGACTAAATTATTTCACAAATTTGCTAAAACAACTAAAAATTTGCTACTTTCTATTAAAAAAAGTAATAATATATTTATTTGATATTTATGCTTACCGCCCCCCCAGTGGCAGCGGCAGGTCTGCGGACTTACAACGCTAGAAACCGGGTTTCGATACCCGTGATGGGCAGAGCACAGATAGCCCATTGTGCAGCTTTGTGCTTAACTATAAACAAACAAACAATTCATGCTTACCTTATTCAAGATACAAAAGTAAATTGTTTATTGGATTGAATTTCAGTATCTACCCTGTATATATGTCTACATGATGTCATTTTGATAAGTCAAACTAATATATTTTTTATTAAAGTAATAAGTTGTCTTTACGATCTAGGTTTTAATTTCTTTAGTTAGCAGAACCTATATTTTTCTTGTAAGTGATTGTTTTACGAATGAGAACGTGAAACAATAACTTTAAACAGTTGTTGTTGTTGTTATTAAGCACAAATCTACACAAAGAGGTGCCGAAACAATAAATTTAAATGGTATTAATATTAGCTTCCAGATAGAGCGAGCTACCTACTTAGATCAAAAATACAAATGAACTTCAATTCCTGTATAATTAAACGAGTGGATGGGTGTGTACGTGTGCATGGAAAGGTTTTTTTTTAAAGTCCATTAAACTATATAAGAGTCGCCGAGACGCCCCATACGATCATCAAATACGCTCTGAACTTTACGTATCTAATCTCATATGTGAGTAGTCTAGGCAGGTCACTTAGCTCTTTTAATTACTTTAAATATAC